TGAATTTCTTTTTTATCTTACATTTTCCCTCTACAATTTCACACGTATTCTTCGTAGAAATTGTTGTACCTCTTTCGAACAAAACAAGCGCTATTAATGAACAAAGCAGTAATTTTCAAAGAATACTTCCCTCCTTTATTCGTCATTGCATATTTGTGCACCTTTATCTTGAAAAAGAAAACATGAAAACTATTTTCCATAGAAGGAAAATAGCAAATTACCAAAAGTATTTCACGCCCTACTTCATCTTATTCTACTGTCCAGTGCTATATAAACCATACTTATCTTATACACATTTCATTTTGGATATGCAAACCATCTACTGATGATACAACTAAACTTACAAACCCTATCCACAAGGTTCATTATTAACTAACCATATACAAAACTTGAACAGTATTCAATTTCAATTATTTATATTTCGTTTCCACTTATCTTCGCGAAGTATATAATGCAATTCAATTAGTCCAAATCTTCAAAACAATATATATAATTTATCGAACAATCTTATCAACTTATATTTGAGATTTATTTATATGTAGATGAATTCTAGCCACCTGAAGATTGATCTTTTAATAAGGTCGAAATTCCGGGATCGTGGTAGTTAATTTGTATACTCACCCTCACCCTCAATTTGATCTTTTTCAAGAATTAAATTTAAATAGATTTTTATTATGCAGATATTTCTACTACTTTCCACTTGACAATTCTTTCCTAATTTTATGGGATGAAACACGTGTCGTGGTAGTTACATTTTAAACTCACTCACACCCCTCAAGATAGTTTCTCCTTGACAGATAGCTTTTTCGTATTATTACCTGTAATTTTACGTCGCTTTTTCTCTCATAAAACCTCTGGTTAACCCTGGTTACCAATCAGTTTCGACTAGTTACTTTTAATAAACATTATTATGTAGTGCAAAATGAGAAACAAATATTAATATCATTACGAGACTGTAATAATGATCAGTTAGTGATTTAAATAGAGATCCATATCAATCTTTACAAAGCGTTACATATTTAGTCTTATTAATGGACAAAAATGAGAAATATATCGAGAGACAACAAAAAAGAATGCACACTGTCCATTTTAACTTATTATTGCATAAAAAAATCATCTGGAAAAAAACAACGAATAAATCTATCGAAGTTCGTATACATAAATTTAGACATTAAAGGAACCTTGAAGTTTAATGTCAGCATTATTGGCAGATGTTGATTCCGACATTCCAATAAGAGATATCTTTTCGTGATAATACTAATGATACCACTTGATTCATTGGGTTCTAAATAGACTCTCTCAAATCATCGTAGTATTTTCAGTGGTTCTTGTGCTTGAACAGGAAAACCAAGATATAATTGTGCTACTTCGGATCCACAGTAGTTACCAGTATTTTTAACTGTACATGTAATTGTATAAACGAGATCAGATAATCCTGAATCACCAAAATTATTGTAAGGTCTCATTCAACGTTGTTTACATAATGATGCTGGAGAGTTTTTATCATCATCGTTTGCTTGTGAGATTTCAAGTTTATCAAACGAGAACTTAGTATATGAAAGACCATACCCAAAATAATATCTTGGCGTAATATTGCATTTATCGAAATGACGATAATCTAAGAAGGCACCTTCTGTATAATTTGAGTCACCTATTAGACTAATATCAGTTCCAAAGTCGGAATCATTTTTGGCTAGTGAGAAGACAAGCTTTCCACCTGGATTATAATCACCAAAGAGAATATCGACAAGAGCAGGTCCATATTCAGAGTCAGGCATACCAGTCCAGAGAACATCAACGACGTTTGGATGACCGACCCATCGTTCAAGATTTAGTTGTGAGACACTGTTAACAAGAACAATAGTTTGACGGCAATTTTGAGCAACAGTTAGAACAAGTTGTTCACCATTATCAAAAGTATATAGGTCGGTTCGATCTATTCCTTCTTCCGACCAAGCACTAATAAATACAAGATATTTAGCATTTTGAAAACCACGATCGCTGAATGTACGATTAATGGAAACAAAATCGTTTTGATTGGTAATATATCGAATTTAAAGACGATCATCTCGACCCTTTTGCATCAGTGCAGTGAGAGGATCTATAGCATAGACTGGTCGAACAAAACCTGAACCACCACCTTGATATAATGCACCTCCACAATTTGCATTC